CCAGCACCAGTTTACCATCGAAGCGAATGAACGATTCGTAGAGGGACTACATGTAAAAAAAAAAAATAAATGACAAAAGAAATGCAATCAAAAATGGGATATTTGAAGACTGGAATTGCCCGTTTTGTGTTTTTGAGATGTTTAAAGTCTCTCTCTGTGTTTATGGCATATTTACTGGTAGTTATGTGACCTCATTACTACAGGTGTTAGGAGGTGTATTAAAGCCGATGTGTCATTTGTTTACTGTAATTCATTTAGAAATGCAGATATGCAGGCTTACTTTTTAGGTTCTAACTGATTAACTAGAATTACCTGCGGCAGGACTTTTGATCTCTGTGGTCCAGATTTGAGCAAAAAATGACTAAGTTTATAAATTTTTGCCTTTGTATTTCCACTAATTGATTTTGCGCATTTGTTGTTTGTATTAAGCTTATGCAACTGATTTATGTGTTGATGAGGAAGGAAGGGAGGTATAAATGATAAGTGTTAGCTTTTCTTGAAGTGACCATATCTGGGTAAATGCGCCAGGACACGCAATTGTACAAATTTATAATCGGGTCAGAAATTGATTTTACATTGTTTTCAATATAAAATCAATTTCTGACCCGAATACAAATTCGTTTTCAAGGAAAGATGAAATTGTTCGATCAATTCAGATCATGGAACTAATATACATCTTTTCAGATGCTGTATGGTTAGCAGGTTTATGATTCTGAAGGCGCTGTGTGACGCAGCCACGGAATATGTAAAACCCCGTCCCACTAACGATAAAAAAACGCCACAGATCTCTGAAAATGAAGGTGACTTTTTAAAAAACTTTTTATTATGGGTCTGCAAGGGAGGATACAAAATTAGTTGCATTTTTTTCGGTAGCATAAATTGCCTCAGCTCTTGATCTCTTCAAGGATCTCCAGTATCCATCGTCGGTCCGGAAAAGAGATAAATCATAATAAAATCCTGAATTTCGGGTATAGAGTCACGACGTCGGATGATCAGATTGGGAGCGCCCGGACTGTCTTTCTTCCCTTCCCTCTTCTGTCGCCGCTACCCCTCCCCCTTTACTTTCTGTGAGAAGTAAAGGCAAACAGAGGAAGATCCAGGAAGTAGGATATGTCAGTTGTAGCCACTGCTGGTAAGGCTCTCGCTTTAACGAGTGCTTAGAAGCAAATTATTGGCTGTTTTATCTCCTTGGATTCTATCAGCATCAGTGTCTTACCGAGCCCAGATTTCTATTATCGAGCCCAGATAATAGAAAGATTGATTTTTCAAGGGAGAAATCGAAAAACAGGCTTTTAGCTTGGAAGTAGCGGTACGCGCCATTAATATTTTTGTCACTTCTTGCTTAAATACTCGTCCGTTCCAGATGCGAAAGTGTTAATCAACGGCCAATTAGTACCACGAGTGAAATATTTCAAAAAAGCATCTGCTGCGTCTGAGACAGAAAACAGATTCGCACCTCTAGCCGATTCGTTTTTTTACCCCTTAACAGCACTTGATCAATATCGTGAACATCTCGATCTTTTGGTAACTTTTAGCTTTTCAAAAATTAAACGATTTTCGAGTTTTTCGTA